ATAGGTATAGGTATATGTGTATACGTTTATACTATATTATACATAGATATATGTTATATATATATATATATATATATATGTGTGTGTGTGTGTGTGTGTGTTTGTGTGTGTGTGTGTGTGCGTGTGTGCGTGTATGTGTGTGCGTGTGTTCCTGTCTACCTAATGAATATTCCTATGTAAATATGTTTGCGTATCGAACTGTTCGCATACATACATATACATACATAAGCTCTCCTGTGTCTATACATATTTACCACTGCTGGTACTAAATAAATACATGCTGACCTCGCAAGTGATCATCCTTTTTTGTGCAATTTACCGCTCAAATAAAGTCGCACGTGCGGACAGTCAATTCATTTAGCACCCGTGCAGTAAACGTTTAACGACATAAAATACTACAAAAACAGATTTGCATTTTATACGTTTCAACGTAAAACGTCAAACTGCTCGCTCGAGATACAGAATGTATAGAGGAGCATAAACGTTTATATTTTAACGTAAACCGTTTAAACGAGAAACGACTTGAGATACAACTTTTTTTTTAAATATAATATATCCGTATGTACCATTTTTTTTATTCTAGGGTTTTGTGACGTATGCCTGTAACCCAACACAACAAACTTGCTTCGTACGTAAATATGATGAGGAGAAGGGCGTTTCTGTTCCCCACAATACAAACAATCTCTATGCAGAGAATAGGCGCATACTTCACACTGTAGTACATATCCAGAGCAGTTACAAGCACACTCTCCATACTGTAATACAAACACAGTACAGTTGTATATATATCGTTCTGATAAGCTTTGTGCTCACATACCAACTCGGGTAGTTGTTAATATTCCCTTGACCAGTTTTGTGTTGACGTACCATCACTCACCATGGGGGTCTTAGAAAAGATAGCCGAGATAGAGCTCGAGATGTCTCGTACACAGAAAAACAAGGCCACCAACTACCATTTGGGTCTGCTAAAGGGTAAGATAGCCAGGCTCAGAGCGGAGTTGTTGGCACCCAGTTCCAAGGGCCCTAAGGGAGAGGGCTTTGACGTGATGAAAAGTGGAGATGCCCGTGTTGTGATGATTGGATTCCCATCTGTCGGTAAATCTACGTTGCTGACTAAAGTCACGGAGACGACTAGTGAAGTAGCTGCGTATGAGTTCACAACGCTCTCGAGTGTTCCAGGTATGTACACATACGTACCAAAAAAAGAATAGCAGCAGCGTATAAATTATATGACAAACCGATATACATACTCTATTTGTATGTTTTTCTAGGTCAATACCCAATGACACATAACTCTGCCTATTATGTGGTATATGTGTATATATCTTTGCATATTACTTCTATATATTATTATTATTATTATATATATATATATATATATATATATATATATATATATATATGTAGTAGTAGTGTGTGT